AAAGAATCAGTTAGCAAGAGACCTGATAGGGGAAAAAGACTAAAAGAGAATTCACTACAAAATCCAAACACCAAGCACACCCATGCTAGAATGCATTTCCTTCAAAGTTATGAAAGCAGCGGGCAGGCAACGTGGAACTGAAGGGAGCTTGAGAAATAGCACAGGGGCCTGAAGACATGGGCCCAGAGGCCGGAGGGCACTGGCAGAGGAGAGGAGAGGAGGCCAAGAGTGAGCTGCCTGTGCCCCTCTGGCTCCCACCAACACCTCTGTTTCCTGACCTGACAGGAGTTGACAGGAAGCCCTGTGTCCCCACCGCAAGCAGTGACTGTAGCCACTGACTATGGGCTCCTATTACAGTGGCCCTCTTCAAAGTTTGCAGCAACTTCCCTCCGGGGCCACAATCACTTTCTTGCTCCTAAGAATTCACTCTAGAAGTATGGTGTCAACTGCACCCTGCCCCCAGCACTGGGAACCAAACTCAGGGCCTTCACATGGAGCTACACCCCCGCCCTTATTTATTTTTTCAACCAGGTCTCTCAAATCACCCAGGCTGAGCATGAAACTGAAAACCCCCTGCCTCGCCTGCCAGAGTGCTGGGACTGGAGGGCTCCTGGTTCCAGCTTTTCTCTCAAAAACATTGGTAAACAAATTGTAGCGGACTCTGTGGCTTCTGTTTTTTAAAGTCCCCCCAGAGAGGCCCTTTCTCTGCCCCCACCACACACACACAGCCTGGGAAGGCCTCTCTCTCTCTCTGGTAGGGAGGAGGGAGGGGTGTCACAACACCCTAAGGTGCTCCCCAGGACTCACTCCCTCTTCTCACCTGAAGTTCTACCTCGCAGCCCTGAAGGGCCTGGGAACACCTAGGGTCTGTGTCTTCACTGGAGCCCTAGGACTCCAGGACACCTCTGTTTTCCTACCCTGTCGCACTTACGCGTAAGTTTTTTCCTGTCCTGAAGTCACCTTGTCACCACTCGAGTCAGAGCAATCAGACAAGGGTGCCTGAGTGCCACGTGCTTGGCACGTCCTGTTTATTGTCTGGTACAGTTAGGAGCCTTTCCAACTGAGGTCACCGACTGCAGTGAAAAGCATGCTGGCTCTGATTGCAGGCAACCTGTGTTTCCCTCCCAGCTCAGAAAGTTGCTGCCCACCAGGCAAGGTGGTGCACAACTCCTGTCAAATGTGAGGCCAGCCTGGGCTGCACAGTGAGACTCCGGCTCAAAAAATCCAAGAGTGAGGAAGGGAGAGAGGGAAGGAGGGAGGGAGAGAGGGAGG